TTAAGCCTTCTAGAATATGGCATACTACGAGGTATTAATAAACGCTCGCTCTCTACGCGGATATTGGAATAGTAGGAGCTATAAGGTATAAGACATAACGTGATACTATATATACTACCTACTATAAGTCACGCCAACCACGCGTGGTATAGCAGAGAGGTGACGAATGATGTAGGAGCTAAACTATTCATTTAGCTACTATATCACTTAGGAGGGATATATATATAGCCACTAGCCCAACGTCATTACTGTATTAGACTAGTAGCTCATGTGTAATATAATATATAATGATATATATAGCGCTCCACTGAAGTGAGCGATAAATATATGAAGGGCCAGCATCTCAAGAGGCCGAATATATAGTCACTCATCCGGCCCCGGTATGAATGTGGTAGGGAGTGATGATACTCACGCTGATCACCCAAGCCCTATACTGCGCGGTATTATTTACAATATTAGCCTCAGCTAAGTCACTCAGCGACGCTATTATCAGTGCAGAGTGAGGGATGAGATAGAAGGGCTATACCTGACGTAGTATGATGTTATAACTCATTGAATGTGTACATATATATATAATTATATATGTGTTAATACTATGATAGTTAAGATATAGTTATATTTAATATCGGAATATAATGAGTATCACTTGAAAAGTAATTAACGTACGTATGCATATTAAATCGGTTAGAAACAGATAATACATTCTGTATCACACTACGTATTTTATATGTTTTAAAATATACCTTAACCACTTTAAATAGTATATGAAATAATATAACAGCTGTATATAATGTCTATTCACGGCCTATAAACTAGCCTACGCTACCCGCGGGTGACGCCGACGGCCCCTAATATAACAAATACACTAATACTGTAAGTATGCATAAAACATGCTGTGTGTGTGTGTATACTCACCTATAGCTAACTACCAAATCACCCTATATATAATATATATATAGGTACCCGCACCGCGATGAGGAAGTTATGACTCACCCGCCCGGTACCCTCAGAGGCCGTATCTATACGTCAATCCTACGTCTACTGACCCACAATAACAGAGCCATAAAGCCTTTAATACCGGTATAATACCCGATAAGCGTCACCTCGAGTATATCCCCATAACCAAATTCTCGAGAGATTAGACTATAGACCTACTTAAAAGATATAATTAGGTTGAACTTAAATTGAGGTGATATACACCACCTACAATAGTATATGTTAGGTTCTGGAGTCATTGAGAGCGTGTTAAATGATGACCCTCTGAAGCTGCTTGTCTCCGAGCCATCGACTCGTGATGTGTCGTGTGTGGTGGGCGGGGGAGACATGTGTGACTGAGAGGCTCTACATATGTACTCGACGTATTATGTATCACTCCACAATATTGAGGGGCCCTGGTAATAGGCTAGACCCACACTATATCCAGCAATCGGAGAGAGACATCGTATGTTTATATATCATACTGTGTACGAGGTGTACTCTCGCAAGAGTATGTGTTGTGAGTGTGAGGTGTGAGTGTGAGTACTCCTGCTGAGCTAGAGGTGTGCTGTCCTGGTGAGGATATCGCTGTGAATGGGATATAGTGGATGTATGAGTGGGCATGTGAGTGATCACACCAGATGGTGGGGCACGGTGATCCGCGGGGATGCTAAGCTGTGATGAGCAAGGTGTATGGAGCGTGGTGCAGCAATAAGAATGCAGATAAACTAAGTGGTACCGCACTGTGAATCGCATTATAACGTGGGGAGTTGGTAAAGTAGCTTCTGAGATGTTGTGTAGTGTGATGGCTGTATGATGGATTAGGTGAATTGTAAGTTGGTAAATGTTGGTGTGTGATTTGACTGTGTAGATCCTTCTAATATTCGTTAGAGGGCTAGAGAACTCGGCATGGAGAGATAAGTATAGGAGAAGTGATGAGAAAGACTGACATAAATGCAACAGATGACCACAAGAGTAATAAGAAAAAAAAAAAAAAAAAAATGGTGTTTACAACTTACACGAATATTTACGTGACATATAATCTTGGGAGCAAATACTTCCTGCTTGACAATAGGTTTAGGCGGTCTTCGTGGGACACCCTGATTGTAACACGGGGAATATTTGAAAAATAGAAAATAAAAGAGTAATAAGGATATATAAATAAAAAATGCATTTGAAAAAAATAAATCCTAATTTTAGAGCAATAGCTGACGCGCAAGCGAATTAACTATTTATTCGACGGGGAGAATCCACTGGAGGAAAAAAAGAACAACCTGAGACTATGAATAAAATATGAACAATTGAAAAGAAAATAAATCCTTGAGTCTGGTCCCACACGAACGAAGTTTCAGCTTATTTCAGCATAGCATTGCCATGAAGCAAGCAAGCACTCTCAGACTACAAAAAAAAAGCAAGAAAGAGAAACAGAGAGAAAAAAAAAGAAAGAGGTTTGGGCGTGAGTATATGCACTGAGACCATATGCCAGCGGCACACGCCCATCTTTCAACATTTCCGTAACTGAGGGGCAATGCAACACGACCGGCGTGCTTCATCCGCAACGATCGGGGGCGATGAACGCGAGGTCCACCCCAAGCTCCCCACCCCCCACCCCAGCGCACCCCCATGTATGCCTGACCGGTAAGGAGACGCGCACAGTGTGATCGCGTATACGCTCACTCCTCGCGAGGTCTAGCCTCAAAAGTGTCTATCGCTTCCACCCTCTCTCCTGTCCCTTGCTCTCTTTGTTCTCGCCCTTCTCAACAGTGTCTGTCGGTGTCAGTGTCCGTGAGCTGGAAAACAGACAACCGGGAAAGAGAGGGAAGAACCGAAGGAGACGGGGAAAAGAAGAGCGCAAAGGAAACAGGGGAAACGAGGCGGTGAAGGGCCTTGAACGCAAAGGGGGGAAGGGGGGATGCAGCGGAAAGGGGGCGAGGCGTGAGGGGTTTTAGGCCGGAAGCGGGGCGCGGGAGAGAGGGAGAGCGTAGACCGCGGGTTTAGGGGTTGAGGGCGGCTCGGAAAAGGGGGGTGCGGGTCGCGCGCAACGCTGCCCTATAATGAACTGGAGAGGCACTCAGCGAAAGGGGGGGCCGACCGGAAGACGTGAGGAGGGGTGGGGGAGGGGTTTGGATGAGAAGGAATAAATGGATCACAGACTCCAAAGGGACAGTTTGCTCCAGGAAACGGCTGTTTGGCAACAGGGGAGACGCAATGTTTAATTTAAAAAGGGAAAAAGGGGAAAACGGAGATGGAATAAGGGAAGAAGGGGTGGACACGAGAAGAAGGAAAGTAACGATGCATGGCATGAAATGACAGGTCCCTCGTTTTCTAACAACATTTTCGGTTCATAATCCGATACCAAAGAGGGGAATTTAATCGCACAACGGCAGGGCACAAGCCAGGGCCCGCGCGGCCCTCGACTCCACAATGGGACACTCACACCACCTCGCTAGGCGTTAGAAGAGAGTAGCGCCAGTGGCCGAGACAATGCGAGAAAGGGCTACCCAGCTATGCGGAAACACCCAACCCCACGCCCCATATAGCCCTCCCTCCCCGACAATCCCACAACAGTCTTGACATTCCTCGCCCCCCATCGGATTCGAGAATATGTATTCCCGCTGGCCCTTCTCTGACGACGAAACCCGCCTGAACGCCTCACCCTCCCCTCGCCCACGCCCCCCTCGGCACGCGGCGCCGCAATCAGCGGTGGTTTCCCCTCCATTTGCCTAAATACCAACGACGGGTGTTTGTTCACTACTTTCCCGGGCTTCTGCGTCCTCCTTGTTGCCTGGACACGTGGGGGCCGCGTCGCGATGCACGTGCGGTGGCTTAACTACTCTTTTTTGCGAGTCTTCTCACCCTTTTACATGTCTGGTTTTCTTTTCTTTTCTATTTGATTTGTCTTTGTGCCTGATTGAGGTAGTGGCTAGTTAATTTGTACCAGTTCTGGTGGAAGTTGCGGATATACAACGAGGCCAAAGCCAGAGTTGTGTATGAGGTTTCGGAGTCAGCCGTACAAGCGGGAAAAATGTTCAAAAGTCGAAGCGGAAAAAGAGAGAATAAGGGAAAATGTGGTAAAATAATGACACAGGAAGAAAATAAAGTGTCCATAGAATATTTACTAAATGATAGCTAAAAGAACCAGAAGATTGATAGCTAGGGAATCATGTATCTCTTCATCTAATAGTTAACAGTTATTTGACAAAATCTGTTTTGACGCTTCAGAAAAAATACATCTGTACTATAAAATTCAGATTGTCCTCCGCCATTTATGATTAATCAGATCAATTATTTTTGCTTCTACATGGAATCCAGAATTTTAAAACTCGAACACCGCAGTTTCCACAACTACATTTTAAAAAATAAATAACTCTTTTTAACTGCAGCCTTGCAAACTGTGTGGGAGTTTCGTTCCCTCTTTTCTACTAATACAAAGATTTTTGACTGGTATTTTGACAAATGGGAAGTGTGCTAGGCCATACAGAAATGGTAAATTGTAAAATTATCTGTATATTTTGACCCGTCTCGCATACCTGACTTCTAACGAGGGCTGTCGTTGCTGCCATCTTGTGGGGGAAATTTGAACTATGAGAGCAGGCAGCAAAAACATCCCAGCGGCGGTGCCAACGCAAATAATGCTTTTATGATTCACCAATACACTAAATGACTCTACTTGCAAAAAAAAAGACAGAAAGAAAAAATGTATTCATCACTCATTATGCGCAAAATGTGTTGTGATAGCTACGGAGAAGTGAAAATTTTGAATTGATCTTTTGTTCTGCAGTACATAAAGTCTTTTGCGAGCTTGACATCACCACTAGAAATCATTAGTCAAAATTCCAACCAGAGTAGGGACATAGGAATGCTCTGGCTGACACGAGTGAAAAAAAAAAAAAAAATCCTGAACGACTCCGGGCCTCCTGTCCCTGCACCCCCCCCCTCGCACGCAACGACAATAAGGACAGGCTTCGATGGGACGTGGGGGGAGGGGGAGTGGGGGGGCGGAGACAGGAGAGCCCGAACTCGTCCACTTTTTGGGGGCACGATTTGCAAGCCTTACAAGCCTCACAGGCCCTTAAAACGGCTTACGGGTTTTATACTATAACACACATCGACACACAAAGCTAAAGTGTACTTTGGTGAGCACCTTATTGTTATGAGATTATAAAAAAAATCGATGTTCCTAACCAAAGACCATTGTGGTATACTGAAGTTGCAAAGTCTATAGCAAAGGCCGGCTTGAGGAGCCCCTCGACGGGCTGACGGAGGCCTGGAAGGGCGGGGCGCTGGGGGCGGAGTCACGGGGTCACGAGGCCTTTCCTGGAGGGGCTCGCGCGGACGGCCCTTCGCGGAGGGAGGTCGGTTCCCTCCCGAAGGAGCGCGAGACGGACAACGAGCAGAACAGGACAAACATCAGGCGGACGGCTGTTGTGTTTCACGGCAGATCCTGCGGAGCACACGGCGGCTGCGGACCGGGCCTCGCGCTTCGACTAGAACACACGTTTAGTACAAATAGCTTGTCTTTTGGAATTCTAATAGACTATACTTTTCTCTCACAGATTAGGTCTTTCGGCATTTAAAATACACTAATAAATATGCGAGTTGTCACTCGGTGGGACTATCTCGAACTTGAGTCACTGAACGTTTTGGGGCCACTTGTGGGCGTGTCACTGTGGGCGTGGTAACACTGGGGGGGAGAAGCCCTCGAGGGCATGTGATCACTGGGGTGGGGAGGGACAGGAGTGACTGAGGGGCGCGGGCGTCACTCGAGGGGCGGGCGGCCTACTCGTCCCGCTTCTTCTTGGCCTTGCCCTCCACCTGGATGGTCCGCGTCGTCAGGTCGACGCACTCGCTGAACGAGGGCTCGGTGCCGCCCGCGCTGTAGTCGTGGCCGGCGAGGCGCGACAGCGACAGGATGTACGAGCACGCTATTCTCAGCACCGACAGCTTGGACAGCTTCTGGTTGTGGCTGTAGGCCGGCACCGACGTGCGCAGCTTCTCGAAGGCGGCGCTGATGGTGTGGACGCGGTTGCGCTCGCGCGCGTTGGCCTCGATGCGCCGCTCCCGCGTCATGTTCTTGTAGTTGCGCTGCTTCTGCTTGCTGGGCTGCAGCAGGGCGTGGATGGTGTCGTCGTCGTCGCGGCGGGCACGCGTCGCCGCATGCTGCCGGCCACGTCGTCCTCGCCGTCGGCCGGCGCCCGCGACGGGCTGTCCGACGCGATCAGGGACTCCACGCTCAGGAACTTGGACGGCGCCTTGCCCGCCTTGCGCACCACGCTCACCTCGGCGCGCGCGGCGGGGTGCGCGCCCGCGCTCGGGCTCGGCCCCTCCGCCGCCGCCACGCGCGTCACCAGCGCAGCGGCAGGTCGTCGCGGGGCGCGCGCTCCCCGGGGGCGTCCGCGCGGCGGCGGAGACTTGGGCGGCGGCGACGCGGGCGGCAGCTGCGAGGGGAGCAGCGGCCGCGGCAGCGGGTACGGGTGCGGGAGCAGCATGGGGTAGTGGTGCGGGCTGAGGGCGGGCGTGAGGCCGGGCGTGAGCCCCGCCCACCCCAAGGGATTGACCACCCGCGGGTAGCCCCACTGCGCGGTGACGGGCGGCCACGCGGGCGGGATCAGGAGGGGCGGGAAGGCGCCCATGGGCGGCCTCCTGAAGGAACTGAGCAGTGGGTGGTGCTGCAGGAGCGGCGGCGCCCCCGGGGACGGCGACGAGGGCGCGCTCTTCTCGGAGACGTCGGTGGCGCCATCGGTGCGGGCGGCCTTCGCGGCGCGCGGCGGGTCGGGGCTGTGCGGGCGCTTGGGCGCCGCCTCGTGGCACAGGCGTCGAGGCTCGGCGGGCTTGCGGCGGTTGCGGGCTGCGGCGCGCGTCCCGGGCGACAGCGGCGCCGCGCCTGTGTGCGGCTCCACGGGGCTGGCGGGCGGACTGGCGGGCGCTGGGGAGGCGCGGGCGGCGTGCACCGGGTACTCCTGCCTCAGCGCGGAGTAGTGCTTGCGGAACTTGTGGAACTTGTGGTGGGCGGGCGGCGTGGGCGGGGTGGGCGGGCGGTGGGGGTGGTGGGCGCGGATGGGCTGGACGCGCACCTCCACGCTGTCCTCAGAGGCGTCGGTCGGGGAGTGGTCGTCCTCGCTCAGGAAGTCTTCGCGCGTGCCTCCGCCCTCCACCTCCTCCTCCATGCTCCTGCGGGACACAAGGCAGCGGTTAGCGCGGAAACAAGGGGGGGGGGGGGGGGGGGGATAATAATGATGATGGTGATGGTGATAGTGATTATGAGAGGGAGTGGTCATGATAATGATGTTAATAACATTAACAATAACAAAAACAAAACAATAATAATATTTGGTGTCAGCACACACACACACAACACATATATACATATGTATATACATATATATATATATATTATATATATATATATATATATATATATATATATATATATATATAATATATATATATATATCATATATATATATATACACATACATATATATATAAATACATCAGGGAAAATTAGAGATAGCGATCCAGAAATAGATACATCAACAGTGATAAAAACAGAAAGGGGAGAGATAAACCCGAGAGAAAAGGAGCGAAGGAGCGAGAGAAGGCGTAAAGACTCGTTTCCCGGCAAACAAGATCATTAAGGCTCGCGCTCCCGCCGTTCCCACAATCAAGGGTCCGAGACGTTTAATCACTAGGGGGGGGGGGGGGGGAAGGGGAAAGAGGGAGAGGAAGGGGGAAAAGGAACAAAGAGGAGGGGAGGGAAAGGGAGAGGGAAGGAAGGGGGAAGAGAAGAGGGAGGAGAGAAGGGGAAGAGGGAGAGGAAGGAGAAAGGAAGGGGGGGAAGGGGAAGGGGAAGAGGGAGAGAGGAGGCAGAGGAAAAGTGAAAAAGGGAAAGGAGGGAGGAAGAGGAAGAGAAAAGGGAGAAGGGAAAGTGGAAATGGGGAGACAGGCACGGGAAGAAGGGAAGAGGAAAGACGGAAGGAGAAAAAAAAAAGAGGAAGACGGAAAGAACCGAAAGAACCAAGAGAAAATATAAATGGAAGACGAACCAAAGAGGAAAGACGAAAGAGAGAAAAGGGAAAACGTGGAAAGGGGGGGGAGGAAAGATAGCGTACATTTACCGCTACGTTCCCGTCCGCCCATCAAGGGAACGAACGGGTTTTAAATGCTTTCGGAAGAGCAGAAGAACAGCGAATAACCCCGGCGGCCATTTTCGGAAGAGCTACTTAGCGCGCGGAGTCACGAGGAAATTTCAACATATCATTCTGAACAAAAGGGGAGAGGGGGTAAAAAAAAAAGGATAGGAGATATAAAGGGAAGAAGGATAGGAAGAAAGGGATGAGAAAGAGAGGAGAGGAGGGAGAAGAGGAGAGAAGGAGAGGAGGGAGGGAGGGAGGGAGAGGAGAGACGAGAGAAGAGAGAAAAAAAGAAAAGAAACGTAGGAAAGAGAGAAGGGGAGAAAACAGAAAAGAGAAAACAGAAATGATAGAGAAGAGAGAGCGAAGAGAGAGAGAGAGAGAGAGAGAGAGAGAGAGAGAGAGAGAGAGAGAGAGAGAGAGAGAGAGAGAGAAGAGAGAAAGAGAAAGAGAAAGAGAAGAAGAAAGAGAAAGAGAGAGAGAGAGAGAGAGAGAGAGAGAGAGAAGAGAGAGAAGAGAGAAGAGAGAAAGAGAAAGAGAAAGAGAAAGAGAAAGAGAAAGAGAAAGAGAGAGAGAGAGAGAGAGAGAGTGTTTTCCCCAACTACCAACGGGCCCATAAACACACAACGAGATCGTTAAAGGGGTTTAGCGGCCGCCAGGAGCCCCAATCAGACCACTTTAGGGATAAATCTATTGAAGGGGATGTTTCCCATTCCCTAAAAAGAAGAAGAGAAGAAGAAGAGAAGAAGAAGGATAATAATAATAATAATAATAATAATAATAATAATAATAATAATAATAATAATAATAGAGAGGAGAAGGAGAAGAAGGAGAAAAAGAAGAGAATGAGAAGCAGAAGAAGAAGAAGGAGAAGAAGAAGAAGAAGGAGGAGGAGGAGAAGAAGAAGAAGAAGAAGTAGAATAATAATAATAAGAAGAAAAATCGGACGACTTAATTGAAAAAGATTGCTCTTTCGTCTATGTAAGGATTATTGGCCATTGCTATTGGCTTAATTCTTCTCAATTTTTTTTTTTTTTTTTTTTTTTTTTGAATCATTCCACTTTTGTTTTTGTTCTATATTCGTTCGTTTCTTGAATATTTTCTCTGGTTGCCAGGTTTTTGTATTTTCATTTTTAAAAAGAAGAAAAAAAAAAATATTTTTTTTCTCAAACGAAAAGAGGAAAATTATGTATCAATCAGTTTATACATTTTCTGTTTCTCTCAATTTCTTCTTTACCATCTATTCCCTTTCTTCCTTTGTTTTCCTCTCACTTACATCCTTCCTCCTCCATCCCCTTTCATCGCACTCTCCCTTCTTCCCCTTCTCTCCCTCACTTCCTTCCTCTTCTCTTCCCTTCTCCCGAAAATCCTCCTTTCTCTCCTATCTTCTCTCCCTTCTTCTCCTTCCTCTCCTTCACATCTTTCCTCTCTCTTCTCCTCCCTTTCTTTCTCTCCTTCTTCTCCTTCTCTCCTTCATTCCCTCTCTCCTCTCCTCCCTCCCTTTCTTTCTCTCCCTCTCTTCTCCTTCACATCTTTCCTCTCTCCTCTCCTCCCTTTTCTTTCTCTCCCTTCTCCTTCTCTCCTTCACATCTTTCCTCTCTCCTCTCTCCCTTCCTCCTTTCCCTTCCCCCCTTTCATCAACTTCCTTCCTTCCTCCTCCTTCGTCTATGGGAACATCACGATCTCTGTCACGGCCGATTAATTAGACGCAATAAATTAATTATCTCCGCGGTTGCACAAAGGACACGGGACTGGCGATTCATTCTGCAATCCGTTACGTTTGAGTTTTTGTCTCCTAGTCTCTCTCTCTCTCTTTTTTTTTTTTTTTTTTTTTTTTGGAGTGGGGGGGCTCTCTCGTCCGTCTCGTCTCTCTTTCTATTTCTTACATCTTTTATCTTTTTTTAAATCTCTTTTGTGTGTGTCTCTGTCTTTCTCTCTCTCTCTCTTCCTCTTTCTTACTTTTTTCTCTTTCTTGTCTTTCTGTCTTTCTCTCTTCTCTCTCTCTCTCTCTCTCTCTCTCTCTCTTCTCTCTCCTCCTCTCTCACTCTCCCTCGTCTCCTCTCTCTCTCTCACTCTCTCTCTCCCCCTCTCCCTCCCTCTCCCTCCTCTCCCACTCCCTCTCTCCCTCTCCCTCTCCCTCTCCCCTCTCCACTCTCCATTCCTTCAGGAAAACGAAAGACACAAAGAAAATAAAGCGGTTTAGATAGCAAGAAATAGAATTTAATGGAAGAAAGAAAAGACAAAGGAATTTTAGGAGATTGCCAGAAATAAAGAAAAAAATATGAAAACGAAAGAAAAAGGTAACGAAATTAAATTTAAAAATACTGAAAAACTATAAAATATATAGAGAACGAAAAAGAAATAAAAGGTAAACGTAAATCTAAATTAATAAATATATATGAAAAACTAAAAGAAACCACAAAACAAAACTAAACCACGAAGAATGAAAAATGAAAAAAAAACTGCCCCCCCCCCAAAAAAAAAAAAGACAAAACCAACCACAAATAGAACAAAAAAAAAAAAAAAAAAAAATTGCAAATTGAAAAGACAGGACGAGCGATGTTGCAAAGACAGAAAAAAAAATGGCCTCGACGTCTGAAGCTTATCAATGTCTCAGCCTGATTTTCCTTCTCTCTCCGTAACAAAAGACGTTCTTCGGGCGTGAAAATGGGATTGTCCATCAGCCGCGGATGTTTCAATTTAGGCCGCCCGCGGAAGACCGAGGGCGGGCGTTTTCTTCCCGTTTTTTTAAGGCTTTTTTTTTTTTTTTTTTTTAACTGTTCTCTGTCTTTGTTCTTCTCTTCTCTCTGTCTTTACTCATCTTATACTCTTCTTTTTCTGTCTTTATCTATTCTCTTCTTTGTGTCTTTTTTCTTCTGTTTTTAATTTTATTTTATTTTTTTTTGTTCTTTGTCTTTGTTCTCTTCTATCTTCTGTCTTATTTATTCTCTTTTTCTTTCTCTTGTTTTTTCTTCCGTTTTAATACGTTTGTTTTATTTTTTTTCTTTTTTTTCTTGTTTCCTGTCTTTATTCTCTTCTTTCTGTCTTTATTTATCTTTCGTTCGTGTGTTTTTAGAGATCATTTAAATTACACGATCTATCAATATTTATAACAACCAAAAGGGTAGATAACGTATGTATACAAATACTTTTTTTTTTCTTCTTTAACTTCTTTTTTTCATCTTTATCAAATTTTCTCGCTTTCTCTGGTCTTCTCATCCGTTATCGCTCATATTCATATGATTCACATTCTCTCCATCTCTTACTTTTCGACATGCACGTAACCGTTATACTTAGAGAGAGAGAGAGAGAGAGAGAGAGAGAGAGAGAGAGAGAGAGAAGAGAGAGAGAGAGAGAGAGAGAGAGAGAGAGAGAGAGAGAGAGAGAGAAGAGGAAAGAGCAAGCGAGCGGAGAGAGAAGAGAGAGCAAGAGAGAGAGAGAGAAGAGAGAGAGAAGAAGAGAGAGAGAAGAGAGAGAGAGAGAGAGAGAGAGAGAGAGAGAGAGAGAGAGAGAGAGAACGAGAGAGAGAGAAGAGAGAGAAGGAGAGAAGAGAGAAAACCGAAACAGCGACGAGCGAGAGAGGAGAGAAAGAGAAACCGAAACAGCGAGAGAGAGAGAAACCGAAACAGCGAGAGAGAGAGAGAGAGAGAAGAGAGAGCCTGTCAATCTGTCTTTCTGCATATCAACCTGTCTGCCCACGTCGAGACTTCCCCGGCAGACATCCTCAGGGCCTGAGGTTCTGCCTGGCCCGTGGGAACGCAAATCACTGGATGGGGATGTTTACTTCCTACTTGGGTTCTCGTCATGCATTGTGGCGTCCCGGGGATGTGATGTGTGCCGCGGGAGGAAGAGAGGAGGAAAAAAAAAAAAGGAGGAGGAGGACGGAGGGGAAGGGAGGAAAGAGAAGAAGAGGGAGGGTAAGGAGGAGGGAGGGGAAGAGAGGGGAGGGGAGGGGAGGCAGGGGAGGGGAGGGGAGGAGAAGGAGGAGGAGGAGAGGAGGAAGAGGAGGAGGAGGAGGAGGAAGAGAGAGGGAG